GCCATCTGTAAATAATGATGTAGTACCTGAATGTTTTTGTTTTAGCAGAAGAATCTGAAGAAGAGAAACCTGCTCCTAAGCGTGCGGCAGTAATGACTAAAAAAGCAAAGGAAGAGTCAGATGAAGATGATGATGACGAGGATGAGGATGGTAAAGAGAATTTTATTGTATAGTCATGCCTGCTTGAAGCTTATTTATTTGGGTTAATTTAACTAGCTAACTGTTGAATTAAAAACCAAAAGAACTGCGGATGCTGTAAATCAGGAACAAAAACAAAGTTGCTGGAAAAGCTCAGGAAGTCTGGCAGCATCTGTGGAGGAGAAAACAGAGATAACAGAGTTATCTCATTTAACGTGAGATTAGATTGGCATAGTGGTTGGCACAGACGTGGGCCAAAGGACCTGTTCCTGTGCTGTACTGTTCTTTGTGGGTGTGTGAATCCTACTCTGTAGGGCAAGTTTATTGCAGTAGAACTTTAGGCCAAAACAGTGATAAGATATTTGGGTTTGAAGCAGTTACAGAAAGGGACCAAGGAAAATCAAAATGAAAATCTAAAAGGAAAGAAGGCAAATTTCATTTCTTTTGAACAAAGATAAAGAGTATCCAAAGCTATCTTGGAAGACAAAGGACAGAAGTTGAATTAAAACAAAGCAGGTTGGAGAGAAAGTACATTCGAAAATGTAATCGAAACCAGACGGAATATCGTGTGCATATAATAATTGGGAGGAAAAAGGAAAGACAGATTGATCAGGTAGTATAAAAAGGACCACTTTTTTTTTTAAGTTTAAAATTTGAAAGAAGGTTTTGAAGAATAGTGAAACTGGTTAGAGTGGTGGTGGCAATGGGAGGAGGGGCTGAAAGATTGCATTGAAGCATGGGATATGAGTAAAATATTGAATGCGTACTTTGGATCTGTCTTCAATGATGAAGTACACTAGAAGTGTAAGTATTGGTTAGACTACTTTGTTCAGTATTTGGACATCCAGGTGGCATACATCCTAACCCCTGAGCAGCTTAATTGACAGTGGAATAAATTGTAGCAACAATATTTCACAGACATTCAATATATCTCACGGACTTAATTGGAGGAAGCACATATCTGTAAGGGGTTTCTTGTTGACTTGGGTATGTAATTGGCTAAGGGGCAGAAGGCAGAAACTTGTGGGAAACAGATGAACTGTAGAGAATTATGCACTGGAATTCCATGAGGTCCATATTTGAAGAGTTGGTTTTCTTGCTTGTGACCTGGAGTTGAGTGTAGGAGTAGTTCAGATGATTCAAAGCTTTGGTGATCTTGCAAGTTGTGAACAAGACATGCACAGACTTGAAGGGTCGATAAAGATAGGTGTCATTCGATGCTTTACACTTATTTGCAATGTACTTGGGTGTAAGAGAGGTCTGAGTTGAAGTTGGTTGTGTTGACAAAACATGTAGATTATTTGCCTTTGCAAATAACAACTGATTGGAAATGCCAGTAACCTAAGCAGAAACAGCACAGCACCAGTTACACATCAGCTGGATATTTTGTATACTTCTGGGTAAGACCTGTTAACAAGGCTGCTTTTGATGTATACCAGGGGTGAGGAAGTTCATATATGTAGAGACTTTGGGAAAAGCTGCTGTTGTTAGGAGCTTTTTAATGTAATTATTCAAATTTGGGAATTCCTTTGGCAAACCAGTGATGGAAGTAAAACAATTGGCTAAAGATCAAGAAGAATGAGAAGTTACTTTGCAGGGTAACACGCCACAAGTGAGGTGGAATCGGATTCCGCAACAATTTTTAAATGGACGTACCCGAATACTGTTGGTTTGCAGGAAAGGTTTGTTTGTTTGAATACAGAGAACAGTTTCTTTAAAGGTGGTATTTCAGCACTCACTGTGGTTGAATAGCTTGGTACCCTATTTACATTTTTATGTAATCATCGGTGGTCTGGTTCTTTAAAGTTTCCAGCTGTGGTCACTTTTGAATGCCTTCACCCTACTTTTCAGTATTTGAATTTTTTTTAAACATCTTTTAATTCAAAGAATCTGAGGAAGAAGAGGCTATGGATACAGCACCACCATCCAAGGCAAAAAAAGCTGGCATGGTGAAAGTTCAGGATGAGGATGAGGACGATGACGATGAGGACGATGACGATGACGAAGAGGACGAGGACGATGACGAAGAGGATGAGGACGATGATGATGAGGAAGAAGTTGGTAAGTTTAAATATCATGTTGCAAAATACGCAATTCCAAATGTGAATTCAGAGTTTTAGTCCAGATCATTAGTCTGATATTTCCTAAAGACTGACACTGGTACAAATCTGACACAAGCCCCAATTGTAGCTATTGTAACAAGATCAGCCAGATGGACCTCATAGAATATGAATTCCCTGATTGGTGTTGTTAGCCTGGTCCAATCACGGAGTCCTGGCTGTCAGATTATGTTCACACAATTGGCGCTGAGGAAGCTGGACCAGTGTCAAGTCCTGTGCATGTGTAAATAAAGGGTGACTTGGTGAAGGGATACCAGCCTCTGGAGGTATTTCACCAATGTTGAAAGAAACTAGAACTAGTTTATCTGTGTGATGGTCTGGAATATTCTAAGTGTGTTTGGCCGCTGTGTCAGAAATTTTTACAGGTGTTGAGTATTTGTATATTGTAAATGTAATTTATGAGATGATGTTCACAAAATTCATAATAAAACCGGAAGAACTGCAGATGCTGTACAAAAGCAAAGTTGCTAGAAAAGCTCAGCAGGTTGGGCAGCATTTGTGAAGAAAAAATTCAGAGTTAACCGGACCCAAAACGGTCTGTTCTGAGGAATGGTCACTGGACCCGAAACGTTAACTCTGATTTTTTTCTTCACAGGTGCTGCCAGACCTGCTGAGCTTTTCCAGCAAGTTTGTTTTTGTTCACAAAATTCATCCCTCTTTGAGCTTCTTTTTGGCTAAAACAAGCATGTAAAAGAGTCATACACATCAGAATGTTTGATGTTCAATGTCCGCTAAAGTCTCTGCACCCATGCAAGTAGTAACTCGTTTTCATATTCCTGTTATTTGGTCAATCCATCTTTCTGCCTATGGGATGTGGAATAAAGTACATTTTGGTTTTGATGTAAGTCGATTTAGATCTATTCATTAGATTGGAATACACTTAATACATATTCATCTGGGCAACTCCAGACTGAATTAGCACATTAGATAAGAATGTTGTTTGTCTACAGTGAGGTTGTGGTATTTATATTTGATACCTAGGAATTGATCATAGAAGCATGCTTTGATTCTAAATTCAACCCATGGAACTTTGTTGCAGATTAGGGATAATCGAGTATTTTTGATCATCCAATTAGCAGAATGTAAAACCCACATCTGGTTCTACAGGCAGTAGAGCATAAAGTTCAATTTATCGTTAGTTCATTTTATAGCTGCTTTCACTGAACTGGCCTTTTGGATAACTTGAGAAATGTCTGCCCATTTTTATTTTAGTAAATAGCTGGCAGTGTGGATGTTTGCAAGGCATGCCAGTCTGTATGGCCTAAATACAGATTAGAAGTCCTTTCCTTAGTACAGGATTGAACATCTATGAAATGTTTATTCAATAAGAAGGGCAAAATGTAAAACTAACTTCATTAATAGGGCAGTGTATTATCTTGAATCAATGAGTTGATTGAATTTTTTCAGAGATTGCTGTAACAACAAAAGCTGGAAAGAGAAAGAAAGTGGAACAGAAGTCAGTGACTCCAGCTAAGAAGCAAAAATCTGACAGTGATGGTGAGTACGGGGAAAAATCCATTAGACAAAAGATTTTCTAAACTAAGAATATTCGTTTTAGTTATTTGTAAAATGGACACCAATCCAAATCAGACTTTGGAGCTGGTGACCAAGAATGTGAGAGATGGTAGAGTTGAAGGTTAATTATGTGAAGGGAACAGCCATAGAGAAGGTTGCAGTTGTTTTAGAACACTTGAAACCAATATGAAAAGCTGGAAATACTCAACATGTGTAGCAACATCTGTGGCAAGACAGAACAGCTAATATTTCAGCTGTGAGATCAGAGAATATCCCATTGTTCCACTAGTTAGTGTCCTTTGTCTGAATTCCTGGTGATATTTCGAGTATCCATTCAAAGGAGACCATCTTCTTTAGAAAGATCATGAGTTCAGGTCCCACTGTGGCAACTCAGCTTTTCCTCATAAGATAGGTTGTAAGGTTTTGACAACTTGTTTAAAAACCTGAACAGCCTTAAATTATCTTCAGTAATTATTGGGGACCCCAAGGCCAGAATTTTTAAATGAACCATAAAGGAAATTGCCTTGTGTCTGGTAGAATGGATAACTTCCACAATAAACAATGTTCAAATTCATGTGTTAACATTAAAGTCAAGATTTAGAATAGAGCTTATCTGAATTGTTATAGTGCATTTCTTTTTTATCCTGAATATGTACATGCAGATGCTTGCACCAATCTTTTATCCCCTTAGTATGAACACTTATTAAACTTTTGTAGAAGTAATATTCATGTCAATAAATTCCGATATGAAAAGATTGGTGGTTACAGGTTGATGATTCCACGTCATAAAACGACACGTTCATCCTAAAAATCAAGCTAAAATCTCTGACTTGCCTTCAATGCAAGGATAGTAAGAATTGATGACACCTAAGCAACCCCTAAATTCTTTGAAAAAATAAAGCTTAATTTTGGGTCAAAATAAGATATCGACTGCAGAGATTCTTGCTCTGCTTTAGAAAAGTTGCACTTTGGCAGAAGCAGTTTTAACTGGAGCACAGAAGAGGCAAATAATTTGCAGCCCTACAGTGCTGCTGGTCAAATTTATTATTTAATCTCCGCTAAGGGAATTTTGTAATGTCATTCTGGAGTTTCTCACAGTTCATTTTGCTTGCTTAGATTTGAAACAGTCACTAACTGCTAACTTCCAAGTATGCATCAGCAGAAAGCCTGAAAGTATGGTATCTTCAGGAATTACATTGCTTCATATTACTGATTTTTTTTTCTATTTGCACAGAGGATGATCATCAAAAGGGACTTAATACTGAAGAGTATGATGTTTTTTTGTTCTGATGTGCCAGTAGCATGCATTATGATATATCAAAGGCTCAAAATTATGTACATTGACTTTTCCTTTCTGCTTCACTTCAAAGAATCGTTCTCACTGTTTGTTGGAAACTTAAACTCTGAAAAGAACTTTGAAGAACTAAAGAAAGCCCTGAATGGTTTCTTCACCAAAAAGAAACTGTCAGTTACAGACGTCCGAATTGGATCCACCAGGTAAATGGTCAATTATCAGTGTGCTGTAACAGCTACTTTTCAGGAACATGCATCAAGCCTGGTCATGGCTGATTGTTTACCATAGAAATAAATTCACTACATACTGTACACCTGGTTTCAAAGGATGACTGGCCACCATAGTTTCCTACTAAAGATTAAATTTGAGTCTTTTGACTTGTAGATAATCTGACTGAATTCGTGGAGATTTTGTTTTCAAACTCTGGTCTTAACAATCTTGAGTGGATATGGCAATGTATGATGAACTTTATTTTTGAGTAGTTATATTTGATCTGTTAGATTTGTGTTCATGTTTATGTGCAGTTACATTTTTCAGTATGTGTATGTCATAATGTAGGAAGTTTGGCTACGTAGACTTTGAAACCAAAGAACAACTGGAAAAGGCATTGGAATTCAATGGAAACAAAGTGCTAGGACTGGCAGTCAAACTTGACAAAGCACGCAGTAAAGAAAGCAATGCAGATAGCAAAAGAGGTATGAATAAGCTGGCTTTTATTGTGATGTTTTCACTTGTCAACTTATACTTCTGGTCAGTTTGAATATATTCGAGTGGCCATTGCTTGATGTATGCAACATTTACTTGATTGTGCATTAGACGGGTAAGTTTGATTCACTGGGGTGGCTGGAGTATTGAAAACATTCTGGTGCAGTAAAGACAGTGTTGGGTTATCTTTGACATAATACTAATAATCCTATTGTCAAGGTTGTCTTTGATTGTTATTTCCACCACAATAAAGAGGAAAAGAATTGTACACCCATTTTTTGCCAGAGTATTTATGTAATGGTGATTTGGTCCCTTCAGTCATTAGTTTCTTCATCCGATTCCATAAACATAAAACCAATGAGATTGTTTTGTTACAGAAAGGGACTGCAGGACGTTGTTTGTCAAAAACCTCCCTTTCAAAATAACACAAGATGGCCTCAAAGAGATTTTTGATGATGCAATTGATATTAGAATTCCTGTTTCTCGAGATGGTTCAGGAACACGAGGGTATGTTTGAAATTTTATTATTGATGGCTGTACATTCGAAAGATGGTGTCTAAACAATAGATTGACTGTCTCCCTTCTTGAATTCAGCATTGCATACATTGAATTTGAAAGTGAAGCAGCTGCAAATTCAGCATTGGAACAGAAACAAGGCACAGATGTTGATGGCAGGGCCATTGTTATTGATTTCACTGGGGACAAGAGTATGTTAAATACGAAGGCTGGACAAACACAACCAAGTAAGAATTTTAATTTTGATTGCTAAACATGAACTTCACTTAGAAAAATCAAAATACAAGTAGTGACTCATGCCTGCAGATTTTTTTGAAAGCTGGATGTGATGAATGTTAGTCTGAAACCCATGATGAACCTTTTTTGCACAATTCCTCTAGATAGTCAAGTACTGATCCAGCTGTGGTTTTAAAAAACTGCATTGAAAACCGAGGAGTTAATACTGACATAGTTTCATTTCCTTTCAGATTCTGATACACTTATTGTAAATAACTTGGCATATTCTGCAACAGAAGATACCCTTCAGAATATTTTTGCAAAAGCATTATCAATCAAAATTCCAGAAAAGAATGGCCGACCAATAGGGTAAGATTAATACAATATCTGAAGCAGTCAGAATCCTGAAAGCTTCCCATGGTTCTGTAATGTGCCGTGAAGGCTGTAGGTGGCCTTTCTTACGAAGCCAGTACTTGAAGTTGGTTTTAAAGTTTTTGCAATATTGAATTTTGATCATTGTTGGATAACAATATTGAGGTAAAGATAAGTGACATTCCCAGCTTGGAGATCTTTTCACGAAAGGTTGATTTTTTAATTTTTTTTTTCTATTATTCTTATTTATTTTCTGCAATATTTTTTCCAGGATTGCATTTGTTAAATTTGAATCTATTGAGGATGCTAAAGAAGCTCTCGAGAATCATAGCAATACAGAAATAGAGGGGAGAACTGTGAGATTGGATTTCAGCAACCAAGGGCACAGGAGTGGGGATGGTAAAGTGCACAAGATTTATTTGTCCCATTGCAGTTTTTAAATTTCTCACTAATTTACATTACATTTACATTATGCACAACCATGCTTATTTGCTGACCATGTCAACTTTAAGGTCCTAGCAAGACATTGTTTGTTCGTGGCCTTTCTGATGAGACGACTGAAGAAACTTTGAAAGAAGCCTTTGAGGGAGCTGAGAGTGCTAGAATTGCAATGGACAGGGAATCTGGACGATCAAAAGGGTATGTAAACTTAATTATCCCTTCCATGCCTTCTCATTGAGCTCCTCACTGTCTAATTTGTGACAGTGCATGGATTCGCAAGAGAAGAATAGTAAACCACAGGCTGCTCCATTTTGAAAGAGTGGTGGCTAGTCTGTCACACTTAATGTAAAATCTGATTTTGCACAGGTTGTAATGAGATTTATTCACGGGTTGAATTTATTATGGATTAATTTTTCTTTCCTGGAGGAAATTTGTGCGGTAGATTTATTTTTAAACGTCATGCTTTATTGCTTTGTTTTAGTTTTGGCTTTGTGGACTTCCCGTCCGAAGAAGATGCAAAATTAGCTAAGGATGCGATGGAAGATGGAGAAATTGATGGATGCAAAATTATGCTTGACTTTGCTCGACCAAAGGGTGACAGCCAACGAGGTGGTCGAGGTGGCGGCTTTGGAAGAGGTCGAGGAGGTCGTGGCAGATTTGGTGGCAGAGGTCGTGGTGGCCGAGGCGGTGGTCGGGGTGGATTTGGAGGTATGGAGCTAGAGACATCAATCGCCTCAACCTCTCCACCCCTCTCACCCACTCCAATCTCTCCCCCACAGAACGTGCAGCCCTCCGCTCCAATCCCAACCTCACCATTAAACCCGCGGACAAAGGAGGCACAGTTGTAGTATGGCGCACTGACCTCTACATTGCCAAGGCCAGGCGCCAACTCTCGACACTTCCTCCTACCGCCCCCTTGATCATGACCCCACCCCCGACCACCAAACCATCATCTCCCAAACCATCCACAACCTCATCACCTCAGGTGACCTCCCACCCACTGCCTCCAACCTCATTGTTCACCAACCCCACACCGCCCGCTTCTATCTCCTTCCCAAAATCCACAAACCTGACTGCCCCGGTCGACCCATTGTCTCTGTCTCTGTCTCTGCCTGCTCCTGCCCCATAGAACTTATCTCCACCTATCTTGACTCCATTTTCTCCCCCTTGGTCCAGGAACTCCCTACCTACGTCCGTGACACCACCCATGCCCTCCACCACCTCCAAAACTTCCAATTCCCCGGTCCCCAACACCTCATCTTTACCATGGACGTCCAGTCCCTATACACCTGCATTCCCCATGCAGGTGGCCTAAAGGCCTTCTGCTTCTTCCTGACCCACAGGCCCGACCAGTCCCCCTCCACTGACGCCCTCATCCGCTTAGCCTCACCCTCAACAACTTCTCTTTCAATTCCTCCCACTTCATACAGACAAAGGGGGTGGCCATGGGTACCCGCATGGGCTCAAGCTATGCCTGCCTCTTTGTAGGTTACGTGGAACAATCCCTCTTCCGTAGCTACACTGGCCCTAAACCCCACCTCTTTCTCCGTTACATTGATGACTGTATTGGTGCCGCCTCGTGCTCCCACAAGGAGCTCGAACAGTTCAACCACTTCACCAATACCTTCCACCCCAACCTTAAGTTCACCTGGACCATCTCTGATACCTCTCCTTCCTGGACCTCTCTGTTTCCGTCTCTGGCAACCACCTGGAAACCGATATCCATTTCAAGCCCACCGACTCCCACAGCTACCTAGAATACACCTCCTCCCACCCACCTTCCTGCAAAAATGCCATCCCCTATTCCCAACTCCTTCACCTCCACCGCATCTGCTCCCAGGATGAGGCATTCCCCTCCCGAACATCTCAGATGTCCTCGTTTTTCAAGAACTGCAACTCCCCCCGCTGAGTGGTCGAGAACGCCTTCGACCGTGTCTCCCACATTTCCCGCAACTCATCCCTCACACCCCCTCCCCGCAATAACAACCAAAACAGAATTCCCCTCGTCCTCACGTACCACCCCACCAACCTCCGGATCCAACGCATCATCCTCCGACACTTCCACCATCTGCAATCCGACCCCACCACCAAAGACATTTTTCCCTCCCCACCCTTATTTGCTTTCCAGAGGGACCACTCTCTCCATGACTCCCTTGTCCGCTCCACACTCCCCTCCAGCCCCACCACACCTGGCACTTTTCCCTGCAACCGCAGGAAGTGCTACACCTGCCCCTAAACCTCACCCCCATCCCAGGCCCCAAGAAGACTTTCCACATCAAGCAGGTGTTCACCTGCACATCTGCTAATGTGGTGTACTGTATCCGCTGTTCCCATTGTGGCCTCCTCTACATCGGGGAAACCAAGCGGAGGCTTAGGCACCGCTTTGCAGAACACCTACGCTTGGTTCGCACTAAACAACTGCACTTCCCAGTCAACTCCCCCTCCCATTCCTCAGATGACATGTCTATCCTGGGCCTCCTGCAATGCCACAATGATGCCACCCGAAAGTTGCAGGAACAGCACCTCATATTTCGCTTGGGAACCCTGCAGCCCAATGGTATCAATGTGGACTTCACAAGCTTCAAAATCTCCCCTCCGCCTACCGCGTCCCAAAACCAGCCCTGACCCGTCCTTCCTCCCACCTCAAGCCGCACCCCCACCTCCTACCTACTAGCCTCATCCTGCTCCCTTGACTTGTCCTCCCTAACTCCCCACCTACACTCCCCTTTACTGGCTCCATCCCCGCCTCTT